TGAGGCCCCCCAGCCTCCCTCTGCCGAAACACTGGAGTCGAGGAGGACAGCTGGGCACGTGCCTGGGCCGGGGACCACAGGCCTGGGCCACGGGTACCCGCTGACCTCCCTGCACCTGTGCCCCACAGCCTCTGGCACGAGTACCCGCTCTGAGAGTCTGCACGCTGGCCCCAGAGAGACAGCGCCTGGGGCTGTCCCGCTGCCCCCTGCTACCCCCGCACCAGGCACCCCTGCAGCTGTGCCCGTGTCCCGCAGCGGGCGCTGGGCAGATTAAACGCTGGTGTGAACAAGGTGAGCTGTGGCATGTGCTGTCTATGGCACTGTGCCCCCAGCAGCGGGGCACCCAGGCTCCAGGTGGTGCCCCAAGGCAAGACAGGAAAGGGGCAGAGCCCTGCTGTGGGGCACCAAGGGGTGGGTATGGTCCCCTCCTACCCCCAAGGAGAGAGCCAGGCAGGTTGTCCAGACAGAGGGTTTAATGCCAGCCCCAGGACCACCCATGGCTCTGTGCCACCCCACATGCTGCCCCCATCCCTCTGCCCCACAGAGGCAGGCAGGGATCCCTTTGCCTCACAGAGCTCTTTGCTCTGGGGCAGCCAGGGATCACTCTGCCCCACTGCGCTCCTCACCATAGGGCAGGCGGGGATCCCTCGTCCCCTCCTTGGGGCGCCCTTGCCCAAGAGGGACCCTGTGTCCACCACAGGCAGTGTGGGGAGCCTGGCCTGCTGTAGGGCGGCTTGGCTGTCCTTGTCAGCGCCATGGGGGGCTCAGCTGTCGCTGTGGGGCAGGCGGGACACTGCCTGCAGTGCCTGCTCAGGGAGCCGGGTGGGCTGCGTCAGGATGGACGTGACCTTGCTGAGCTGCAGCAGGGAGCTGGAGATGGCTGCGGGGAGAAGGAGATCAGTACCTACCATGTCCCCATGCCCACCTCTCCCATGGCCAAAGCGGAGCCCCAGGCAGTGCCCACTGGGCCTGGGACATGGGGGCGTCAGGACACCTGGGTCCCTCCCTGCGGCAGAGGGCTGGACGTACCAGGGCGCAGCACAGGCAGGGCGCAGTGCCGCTCCAGCCAGCCTAGCACGGACTGGCAGAAGTCCTCGGTGCTGCTGGTGCTTACGGCTGCGCTGTAGCTCTCAAACAGCGGCTGCATGATGGTACTGAACTGGGAGCGCTGGGCTAAGGACAAGGTGCCGCTTGCCTGCCCTGGGATCTGCCTCC